CTACATGTTTTTGGGGGTGTGTGGGAAACCGGAGTACCCAGAGAAAACCCACACAAACACAATGAGAACATGCAAACTCCACACAGAAAGACTCCCAGGACCTTCTTGCTGTGAGGCATCGGTGCTAACCACTGAGCCGTCATGCTGTCGTCATAATCACTGTGTGAATTCTTCATGTAGCTGCATTTTCTCTGGCTACTTTTGCTGTGGCCCATTTGTACTGGGAAGTGGGAATTTCCCACTTACAAATCATAAAATTTAACTGGAACGCCCCTCCAGGGGGAATTCCCTGTTGGAAAGTGGGAGAGTTCAGATTTCAAGATGGCAATGACTCACCACAACTCAAAAGTGAGTAAAACTCTCTTACTTTTACTTTATTAGTATTTCTGTATTATTTATTTCACATTTACATGTATACTTTTCAGTGTTTTTAAAAAGGACATGTTAAAAAGCTGTTTCTGTGCAGGAAATACCAGGTAGAGCTCAGTTATTGTTTGTTAGGCAAGGCCAGTCAATGAGACGAAGAACGTTTTGTGTTATGTCAAAGTTATTTACAACCGGCCCTCAGTGTTAATAAGCTTGATGCTTTTGACTTAGAGAAATCATTAATTATGTGTACTCAGTCTTTTTGTTGTTTTTTTATATTTCTTTCTACAAGAAAAACATTTTACATCTTCAAGTAGCAGCCATGCTTTGAACATTAAAATGAACCATTTCCCCAGATTCCTTTTAAACTCCAGGATGTAAGGCAACAACATAATGTGTGTCAACCTTTTCTGACTCTTCAACACTAAAGTTCGAGGGCAGAACAACGGAGCTGCCCAGTGAATGTGTCTGCCACTAAAGAGWATTAGACTGGGCCAGGACAGGCCTGAGGATTACAGTAATCCTTTTTATAAGGGTTGGGGATCATGCAGCCGTCAGTCCAGCGCAGGTGAAGAAGATGGAGGTCACTGCTTGTCGTGCTGCTGTGCTGTTCCTCCTGCTTCTATGTCAGAGTAAGTCTCAAAAATTTAATCATTTTTGAATCACATTATTGATACCATACAAAGAATCAGTGATGACACAGCGCTGAGAAACCATCGAGATAAAATCAAAGTGAACAGATTTCATTACAAAGAGGCCAGTAATCTCTGTGGGTTTCTTCTGCACACATTCTGTACGGATAAAACATATTTACAAACCATTCAGAGCTTATGTTTGTTTTAATGTTCTACATCTGGTCTGGTTCTACATTGTGTTTTATTTCCCATCTGCTCCCTCATCCGAACAGCCACAATCACTGCTCAGTCCCAGGAGGTAAGGCATTATTCCTGAAATATCCTCAGAACCGACACCAAAAACGAACCTTAGATTCCCTGTGTGATGTKCAGGAAGAGGAGGCTGTGCAGGAAGAGGAGCAGCTGCAGGGAGAAGACCAGCAGCTCATCGAGACATGGACTCGTAACGTCAAAGCCTGCACGTGTGACTGCGAAGCCGTCAGCTCGCCGACACGTACCTCTGCCTCTATCCCACCCGTCTCCCCAACCACATGGCTGCCACCTCAGGGTCACCCCAGCTGCATGCCAGGTAAGAAGTCCACCGACCTCTGCAGGAGCAGACAGGGTTCACAGATCTCACAACTGTTCACTCTTTGTATACATATCTGCACAGACTCCCATTAAGTCCTGAACATGCCTCAGCTCTAAACACACGAGTCAAACATTACAGGAAAGAGTCAGAAGTTCGGAAATGARCACCTGCATCAGACAAAGTGGTTCTGTTCAGGTAATCTTATTACTTGAGCAGGAATGTCATGAGTAGATTAGGGAACTCAAAATAGGGCATCTTCTTCACGCAATAACATGAAAGAACATCTTCTTATGCCTTTGAAAGCAGTTCATCCAAATATTAAACAGCCATAATGTTAGTACAGGGTCCTCACAGCCGCAGTGTCAAATTTATTTTCACTGAGGGCCTTTTAGTTAAGAACTTTGATGTTTCATGTTTGACTTCAAACTCACAAAACGTTCCTCATCTCATTATTATAGCTGAGCACTGCTAACAAACAAGCTCTACCTGGTATTTCCTGCATAGAAACAGTATTTTAACAGTATTAAAAGTAAAAGTAAGAGAGTTTTACTCACTGTTGAGTTGTGAGTAGCTGCTGTCTTGAATTCTGAACTCACTTTCTGACAGGGAATTCCCACTGAAGGGGCATTAAGAGTTTAAATTTATGACTTGAAAGTRGGAAATTCCCACTTCCCAGGGCAACTGGGCCGCAGTAAAAGTAGCCAGAGAAAATGCAGCTACATGAAGATTTTACACAGCKAATTTTGCTGGCTACTTTTGAACCCTGTGCACCTCCGCCTGGAGATGGTAAAAATTAATAAATGCAAGCAAGAAGAAAAACCTAAGACAAAGTGTGCACATTCAATTCTTTGGACTCATCTGTTRTTACCTTTTCATGGTGTTAAAGAGGTAAAATTGCTGGTTCTAAAATCTTTAAAGGTTTTTATTGGTTGCACTTAGCCCAAGATTATTAAAACAACATCCTAGGGGTCTATAACCAGACCACTAAAACTTAATCCAGATGGTAACAAGAGCACTCGTCACAAAGAGAAGAAGACTGCAGTTAACGAGTGTTCAAGAGGTGACCTGACACAGGCTACTCAGATGGGTCAATCCACTGGATGAAGAAGGGCGAGACTCTCGAAGACCTATCAGTGTTTGAAGGAATTTGGACCCTTGAAACGGAGAGCTGGTACAGGGGCTCTTCTGATTTAGTCAAGGGGGTGTCTCTGAGGRCGTAAATAGATGCCATCATTTTGTTGGTAAAATATTCAACACGCAATATGGGAGATGTAGTTAATGCTGGCTTTAAAGTAGCATATGCTTATTTTAAGACATAAATACATTTCTGAAGCTTTTGCAGGCCACATAAAATGCAGTGGTGAGCCACATTTGGCCCACAGGCCTTCATTTCGACACACGTGCCTTAGATAATGTGGAATAAATGTATTTAAATAAATGTCTTTAAACTTTGATTGTCCCTACAGAATGTCCGTACCACAGAGCTCTGGGTTTTGAATCAGGCTCAGTGTCCTCAGACCAGATCAGTGGTTCTAATCAGGACCAGTACACAGGCTGGTACTCCTCCTGGACCCCTAAGAATGCTCGCCTCAACAATCAAGGATTTGGGTGAACAATTTTAAAAAGCTCTCCTGTCCAGATTATATCATATTATTTGTAGAAAAAAAAATCACAGCTTACAAATGTATAATTGCTAGGTGTGCATGGCTGTCCAAGTTCAACGACCAGCACCAGTGGATCCAGATCGACCTGAAGGAGGAGAGCGTGGTGTCTGGCATTCTCTCCCAGGGCCGCTGTGATGCTGACGAGTGGATCACCAAATACAGCATCCAGTACCGCTCTGTGGAAACTCTCAACTGGGTCTATTACAAAGACCAAACAGGAAACAACAGGGTAGGAACAATGAAATGGAGTTAGATTATAGAAGTGACTTTTAGATTTTGATAAAAAGTTTGCTTCGTGTTTTAAACAAGGTTTTCTACGGGAACTCTGACCGCTCCTCCACCGTACAGAACCTGCTGCGCCCGCCCATCGTAGCTCGTTACATCCGCCTGCTGCCGCTGGGCTGGCACACCCGCATCGCCATCAGGATGGAGCTGCTGATGTGCTTGAAAAAGTGCACTTGAAGTGAACTTGACCTGCTTTTTCCTCGTCCTCTAACCGACCAACTCACCAAGAACCGGAGAGCTTTGTTCCAAACATCCATTATCTGATTTATGAGCTTCATCATCTGTCTGTGGTGAAGTTTGGAGAAAAACTATAGGTTAAAGAAGCATTGTCACTCTCAATAAAGCTAAAGGAGTAAAAACAAACCAAAAATGTATTTGTCCACAATCTTTCTTTGAAATGATGGCGGGCCGAATCGGACATAATAAAAAATAAATCAGAAATATATAAATGGACCACTAAATAAATAAATACACTTAAAATGCTCAAATTAATTTATAAAAGGAGAACTTTACCTCATGTTTTATATTTTAAATGACCTTAATATTTATTTATCCAGCTTAGATCAAATAAATTTTATATTTTAGCTCATAATTTATATTTTACTGTTTTTAATGTATGTACTAAAAGACTTGTGGGAAAATTATCATTCAATTATCATTCATTTAAGAGACATAAATGCATGTAAAAGGAAAAACTAAAAAAAA